ATGATAATTTAATATACCTGTATGTTGTGAAGTTATTACTACAAATTAATTAATACATCCATCACCTCACATAGTCTTTTTGTGTGTCATAACACTTAAATGATCAATTCTTTCAGCAAACTTAAGGTGTACATTGTAGTATTATTAACTATAGTTACCATGCTATACATTAGATCCCCAGAGCTTACTCATAACTGGAAGTTGGTGACCGTTGACCAATATCTCCCCATTTTCCCCACCCTCCAGCCCCAGGCAACCATTGTTCTAGTCTCTGGTTCTTCAAGTTTGACTTGTTTAGATTCCACATATAAGTGAGATCAGAGATCATGCAGTATTTGTCTCTCTGTGTCTGGCTTATTTCACTTACCATAATGCCCTCCAGTTTCATCCATGTTGTTGCAAAGGGCTCTTCCATCATATTTTAGAATGAATGGTAGGTGTACATAACATAAGCAGTTGAATTTTTGTGTATGTACTAATTTTTTAATCGGTTTAGATTGTTGAATTATTTTAGTGTTTCTAGTAGCTTCTCTATTGATTCTCTTGCGTTTCCTTGATGCATCTACAAATGATTTTGCTACTTCCTTTTCATTTTTAGACTCCCCCCCCCCCCCGCCTCAGTGAATTGGTAGTTAATTCCAGAAAATGTTTTTTTAAATGGTGGGCGTTTTTGTCTTGTTTTTGACTTTAATGAGAATATTTCTGCTTTACATGTGATGCTGTCTTTTGGCTTAAGATTGCTGTTGATTGACTTGAAATATATATTCTTTTAAATCTCGTTTTATTAAGAGCTTAAAAGTCAGGAATTGCTGTTGAATTTTGTTACCTGTATATTCATCATCTGTGGAGATAATCATTCTGTTTTTTCTCCTTTGACTTGTTAAATTAATAGTACTTGTATAATACATATCCACCCTTGCATTTCTGGGCTTAGATGGGATGGTCTTGTAATGCATCACTGGGTTGTACCTACAAAATTTTTAAATAAAAATATTATATCTATCTGATATTTTATTTATTTGGAAAATGTTATCTTTGTCATGTTTTGGTATCAGTGTTCTGCTGACTTTGTAAAAAGTTATTGGGAAGTTTTTTCTTCTGTGCTCTGGCACAGTTTAAATTGCATGTGGCTCTCTGTTCTTGCAAAGTTTGGTAGAATTCTCCTGTGAAAGCAGTTAGGCCTGTGCCTTTGGAGAAGTAGCCTTTGGCAACTTTCTCACTTTCTTTTAGGGTCATTTTTCTGGTTAAATTTGACATTTTTAGTCTTACAACTCCCAAAAGTCTAAATAGAAATCAGCAAGACTGATAGGACTGTTCCACAGAAAAAGCCTGGGCTTTGAGGACTGGCCCTGTTTGAAACACAGGCCTCTCATTAAGGTTAGTGTTTCATCTGTGAGAGCGGGGCTAACGCTTATGTTGGGGTTTGTTGTGAGTATTAAATAATCTCATTTATGGGATAGGGCCCCACCGCATCTGTGTCAATGTTGATATTTTATACATGTTAGACTTCTTTCATCCCATTCTGTTCTGTTACTTCATTTTTGTCTGTGGCTTTATTAATCCTATTTGTTCAACAGGCCTTTAGTGTGCAATGTTCATCAGTGTCCTTCAGACCTACTTGAGATCTCTCCCTTTTAAAATAATAATCACAGTTTGATACATTGTAATATTTATTCATTTAACCGCACCCAGGCTTGAACTCACGACTCTGAGATGGAGAGTCTCATGCTCTTCGACTAAGCCAGCCAGGCGCCCCTGATGTCCTCATTGTAACTTTGTCTCAAAGTGTGCATTCTTCATCGCCTCATGTGACTTGACTCCACAGAGACTTAACTATATGCCTGTTAGCCAGCGTCTCCAGTTCACCCAGGTTTTATGTAGTAGAGAAAAAGAAATTACTTATTCTGAAAATCCTGCTGACATCTTTTGGTATGTAGTTTAAGTGCTCTTGTCTAGAGGGTAGTGTGTAGACACTAGAAGCACGTCTTTGTTGTTTCCCTCTTGTTGGGATTTCTTTCAGTATTATTCTTCTTTCACTGCCATGGGAAACTCAAAGCTGAACAGAAAGCTGTAGCTTAATTTTTTCCAGTGAAAAGCCTGGATGCTCAGTAGGAAAATTAATATTGCCAGGGATTCAGCAAACACTGCTTATGGAGAGGGGTGAGGATCGATGGCCAGGGAGTGAAGTGTGCTTCATGTATCAGTTGAGGGGCTGAAAAAATATTTTTCTATAGAAACAGCGTTCAGTTGTTTTCACATAAAGGTGTTGGAGAGCCTAGTTTTTACCAGGCAACAAACACTAGGCAGTGGAAATACAAAGATAATGTAAAACTTGCTTCTGGTCTTAAGATACTTGAAGAATCATACAGAAGATAAATGTAAGCAGACAATGGCAGGATAATCTGATAAGAAATGTGACAGAGTACTCTGGGTTTAGAGAAGGAAAGACCCATTAAGAGCTAGGGGAGGTTATGGTAGGTTTCATGTAGGAGGTGACATTTGAGCTGTGCTTGTATCTGGGAAGTATTTTACCAGGCAGAGAGAACAGCACATGCAAAAGCAGGAGAGTGTGAGCAAGGTGGGATTAGGGAAGGACAAGTTCAGTGTGATCCAAGGGTGGCATGAAAGAAAGGCCTTTGTATAATAGTGTAGCACCGGGACGCCTGGGTGGCTCAGTCGGTTAAGCGTCCGACTTTGGCTCAGGTCACGATCTCCCTGTCTGTGGGTTCGAGCCCCGTGTCGGGCTCTGTTCTGACTGCTCAGAGCCTGGAGCCTGTTTCAGATTCTGTGTCTCCCTCTCTCTCTGACCCTTCCCCGTTCATGCTCTGTCTCTCTCTGTCTCAAAAATAAATAAATGTTTAAAAAAAAATTTAAAAAAAAATAGTGTAGCACCTAACAGCTGTTGTTGGTTAGATGGGTGAATAAAAGGATGATATTAATATATACAGCATTCACTGTGATGTATGACCTGAGGGAATGTAACTACTTTTCCAAAGGAGAACGTATTCTGAATTTGAGCTTCAACAACAATCTTGGAGACACAGCCCTTGCTTGTGTTGGGTAAGGCTCCTTCTAAATCAAATACTGATGTAGCTCAGGGATTTTGTCTTCTCATTAAGTTACACAAAGAACAGCAGATTTTCAGCCCTGGGAGTACCAAAATGTAAGGACTCCCACAAAGGAAAAGTAAATTCTCTAATCCACCTCTTTCTATTCACCTAGATAATGCTTACCTTTTTTTGCCATGTAGCTTAGAAATTCATTTATTTCATCCAGGTCAGTGGTCTCAAAGTGGGGCTCTACACCCAGGAGAACACAAGACTGTTTATTTTGGGTTATAGGAAGAAAATATTAACATGTCTATTCATATGACTTTTATGCCATTTTAATTTCTACTTTTGTGTATAAGTTACACATATATGCACACATACATGTACACACTATACCCAACACACAAGTATACAACGTAGGCATTCACACGTACATATAGAAACACACAAAAAGAGTTCATGTGTTCCTGCTCGCTTTCCATTTTTTCCTGGCACATGTGATTACATATGTTGGAGACCACTGATTGAAGCCATCATTGCAAAACATTTTCAAAGGGTTCTTAAAATATTTCATTTATTTATTTTTAATTTATTCTTGAGAGAGAGCGTGCACGTGTGTGAGCAGGGGAGGGGCAGAGAGAGAGGGTGAAAGAGAGAATCCCAAGTAGGCTCTGTACTGTCACCATGGAGCCCAATGCTGGGCTCGAATTCACAAACCGTGAGATCATGATCCGAGCCAAAATCAAGAATCGGACGCTTAACCAACTGAGGTACCCAAGTGCTTTTAAGATATTTTAAAATTCTGTCTGGGTTTTAAAAATAGAATACACTTCACTTAATACCACTTTAAAAGAAACACTTTAATGAAATAAAAACAGATCGTAATGCATTTTTAATAACAAATGTACACATGTGGGTACTTAAAATAGATTTCTACAGTGAGGTAGCTTTCAAAGAACCATCCATAGCATGTTTTCTCAGTGAGATGGTAATGATTCCATAAACATCTTTGCTGTACCCAACCCCTTATCGAATCTTTCCCTCCTAAATCAGTTAAAAATCAGTATTGTCTTGCCCACTGCTTCACTGGTGCTGTTACTTGGCACAACACTGACACCTAGGGTTGATTGTGGCTTATTTGTTCTGAGGTTCTGAGGTTTTCTGTCTAACCTTCTGCGTTGGATCTTCTATATTTTAGCTCATCTTCTTACTCTGTTCCTTACCAGAAGAAATAACACTTGCTCCAAGGTACTTTTCAAGATGGCTTTTCTTTCTTTTTTTTTTTTAAGATGGTTTCTCTAATTACGATTTTGGCATCTCGCTTCCATCTTCTTCCCTCCCTCCCAGCTTAGTCTTAATTGGCCCATCACTATCACACTCACAAAGACAGTTCTTCCACTCAGGACAGAGGGATGTAGTGTGACCTCTAATCTTTAGGGTAACGGTCATCACGCATCTCGTATGTTGAATGAAACAAATACAGGATATGTGTTATGAAAATGGAAGTTTTTAAAATGTTAGACTTGGGGCGCCTGGGTGGCTCAGTCGGTTAAGCGTCCGACTTCAGCTCAGGTCATGATCTCGCGGTCCATGAGTTCGAGCCCCGCGTCAGGCTCTGGGCTGATGGCTCGGAGCCTGGAGCCTCTTTCCGATTCTGTGTCTCCCTCTCTCTGCCCCTCCCCCGTTCATGCTCTGTCTCTCTCTGTCTCAAAAATAAATAAACGTTAAAAAAAAATTTTTTTTAAAATGTTAGACTACTCAGAATTCTCCTGGCAAATTAGGAAAGTATTTTTCAGTTGTGTTTTGTAGGGTTTTAGTTTTGGTAATTACTGTTAGTGATAATTTTCTTGTACTGTGGCATTCTTCCTTCTAGGTAATTATCTTTTCCATTTACCTGTGATTGTTTTTGTAAAGCCCTGTGTGTCCATTAACACTGCCACGGCTTCTGGATTCGGATTTTCAGTGACTTCATTGAAAATTAAAACATTTCTGTGGCTTTTCATGTTAGAAAGTGCTCTTCTTTATTCATAAGTGTTGCCTCTCTCCTGCAATAGTAAATAATAAGCCATAATTAAGATTATATAACCAATGATGCCCCACTGCAAGCAACACAAACTACTATGCCCTTTTGCATTCTGTGTCCCAAGTACCCTCCAGTAATCTTAAAGGTCCAGTTACTAGTGTCCCTGTATTTAGAGTAAGATTTGGGAACTGAAAATCAAATTTCTTTTCTTTCTTTCTTTTTTTTTAAGCATTGTTCATTCTTTATTATATTTTGTTAAGTGTATTAAGATTCCATTCATTGCATTTTTATTGTCAATGTTGTTGTTGAAGTAACAGGGTTATTTGGCCCGTAGTGTTTTCCAGTCTGGGCTACACTGATGTTCTTCTGTGCTCTGTTGAAAATTAATTTTCTTGTTCACATGCTTTTGTGAGAGCCCTGGCTTACATTACTCACTTCTAGACTTGTCTTCAGGACACTTATCTTTCCCTGTTTGCAGAAAAAGATGCTCCAGCCTCAGCAAGAAAAGAGTGAACAGGCATTTATAATTATTCAGAGTGGTGTCTTAGGTAATTAGACCATCTCTTTTTTATTTTATTTTATTTTATTTTACTTTATTTATTTTATTTATTTATTTATCTGTCTATTTATTTATTTATTTAATTTTTGTTTAATGATTATTTATTGTTGAGAGAGAGAGAGAGACAGAGTGGGAGTTGGGGAGGGGCAGAGAGAGAGGGAGGCACAGAATCTGAAGCAGGCTTCAGGCTCCGAGCTCTCAACACAGAGCCCAATGCGGAGCTTGAACTCATGAACCGTGAGATTGTGACCTCAGCTGAAGTCAGATGCTTAACTGACTGAGCCCCCCCAGGTGCCCCTAATGAGACCATTTCTTGATGTATTTGTATACACACTGAAGTATGAAATGACTACTTAGACTATATTCTCTCCTGGATGAAAATCCTTTTTAAAAGTTTGGATAAAAAAAAAACAAAAAAAAAACACCTGGTATCAGGCTCTTAATTTGCCCTCTTGGCTCCTGTTTAGGAGGAAAAATCCTTAGTAGTGTATACGTTCATTATTTTGTCTACGTTCTAATTGAAATCTGAGCAGCCTGACTGTGCATTGTGGAAACTGAGTATGTGCTCTGCTAGCACTCAAACAGCATCTTGTTTGGAAAACCTGTTATATGGGACTTTAAAGGGACCCTGTTGGATGTATTATAGATAACATAAATGCTTGTTCTTGCCACTCCAATCCTTCAGACTGAAGAAATACTTAATTTTTACTTTCATTAGCTCATCTTTAAAAAAACTTTTTTTAATGTTTATTTATTTTTGAGACAGAGGCAGAGCATGAGCGGGGAGGGGCAGAGAGAGAGGGAGACACAGAATTCCAGGCAGGCTCCAGGCTCTGAGCTGTCAGCACAGAGCCTGACGCGGGGCTTGAAGTCGTCAACCGCGAGATCGTGACCTGAGCCGAAGTCGGACACTTACCGACTGAGCCACCCAGGCGCCCCTAGCTCATCTTTTCTAATGTGAACTTATTTCTGCCTTACTAGTAGTGTTTTCTGTATAATTTGACCCAAGTTCCAAATGTTTGGAACTTATTGCCCACTACTGCATGCAAGATATTGTACAAAGGGTCTCAGAATCCACAAAAGCATCCTTGTCTGAATCGAAAACACTGCCTGTATCCACTGTGTTTCTGAGAGATTCCACGTTACTAAGATGCCAGCCTGGTCTGTATTTAATACTGTGGCAAATGTCCTTTGTTATGTATTTATCAAAACATGTTCTCTATAAACATGCATCATATGTGAAAGTCCCTTTCAGACTCCTACTTTATAGGAAAACATGATTATTGACAGCTCGTTGGCAGCTTAGCTCTTTTAGCCAAACAGATATATATGCTTTATATCTGCATTACGTCTTTGTGATATTTTACACTTATAGATTGTTTTCTTGTTTCCACGCGTCTCTTATTATATAATAGTTCTTGAGCAATTTCCTGAAAAATACGCCAAGCACTCTTCTTCTATAAACACAAATGAGAAAAAAAATGCCTGTCTCTCTTAGGACTAGAAGTGATTATTATTGTACATCCTCTGAACTTTTTCTTTCGTTATTGCCTCCAGTCTGAGGAAATAACCCTCCACCCCCAGCACGTCTATACTTCCCATTAACTTTTGTATTCTGAGTATGTGAGGTAGGGTTTGTGGTTGAGAATAATCTAATTTAAATCCTAGTTTACCACGTGAGATTATCCTCGAGTTTCTCAGTAATAAGAAGTGGTATCTAGGGTGGGGGGCACATGGCTGGCTCAGTTGGTTAAGTGATTGACTTCGGCTCAGGTTGTGATCTCGCTGTCCGTGAATTCGAGCCCCACATCGGGCTCTGTGCTGACAGCTCAGAGCCTGGAACCTGCTTTGGATTCTGTGTCTCCCTCACATTCTGCCCCTTCTCTGCTCATGCTGTGTCTCTCCCTCTCTCTCAAAGATAAACATTAAAAAAAGAAGTTAAAAAAAGAAAGAAGTGGTATCTGGGGTGCCTGGGTGGCTCAGTCGGTTAAACGTCCAACTTCAGCTCAGATCATTATCTCCCACTTGGTGAGTTCAAGCCCCATATCAGTGCAAAGTCTTCTTTGGATCCTCTCTCCCTCTCTCTGTCCCCTCTCAAAAATAAATTAAAATATTAAAAAAAAAAGAAAAGAAATGGTATCTGTGGTTGAAAGTTACCGTGATGTTCTCTGTATTTAATTATTGTGGGTTTGAAATAGTTACAACCAACCACCATTTTAAAGGCATTTGACAAGCATTGGTCTGTACCTTTTGTGAGTCTTCTGTTTCTTTGTTTCTTAGAGAGTTAGATTTTGACTGTCAAGAGGAAAAGGAAAGTCTTATCAGACACTTTATGCACTCAAAACAGTTGCGGCAGATATCTCATACCATATTAAGATTAAACTAACTTAATATTTAAATGATATACAGTAAGAGTTAACTTCTACAAAGCATTTCTGAGATGCTTTTATTATACTAATAACTCAGACTGATGTTGATTATAGGATTTGTAGTAATCCTAATATAACACATATGTACCCCCTCTTATATGACTAGCCAGCCTCCTCAAAACCTTCAGGCCTTTTAAAAGTATTTTAAGGCAGCTTCTTTGTTAACCCCTTTTTGCTCTTAAAGGCTATTCTTAGGCTTTTTTAAGATAACTGTAATGCTCCGCAGCAGAAAGATAGCATATAAGATAGTTATAAAGAAGGATCTCTTATTCCCATATTACTGGTTGTAAAGAGGAAACATTGTAAGTTGTGTACTCCAGTTAATAATAACTTCAGTGATGAAAATTTACACTTCTATAGACTACTCCTGCAGGTGGTGTTTCCTGCAGATGTACAGGAGGATGTTAATTAATTAGGTAAGCTAATTCTGAGCCTCACGTGTGGAGAGGTGAAAATTATTTCCTTATGATAATATTCAAGGCTACAGGGACATCTAGAGCAAGGAAATTTGACTTACTTTGGAGAGGACCACGAAGATCCCGAGAACAACAGTCATGTAGATAGAGAGCAGTGATAGAACAGCTATCAGGAGACTGTGGAGCCCCTTCATTTCTTTGTTAATTACAAAAACAAAGAACTACAGTCACTATTGAAACTATTGCAAACACATGTATAAAGTACAACTGGAGCTACAAGTGTTAGAGATAAGACATGAACTTGCTCTGACTGTTCGTGTAAAAATTTATTCAGGGTCTCTTAATTCAAAAGATACTCAGGTATATTTAATTAAAACCAGTTCATCAGTTCTTTAAATGTGTTATACCAAAACTGTTTCTCATTTTGAAAACTAAAAAAAAATTTAAATTCAATTAATTACTTGTCATAATGCTAAGAATATAGCATTTTATATAACCCATTATGTGAAGTTAGGTAAACATTTCAGGACAGTTCAAGAGCATTTAACATTTCTTTTGGTAGAAATGATGTACGAGTGTCACCAACAGTCTGTTCATGGAGTTAAGATGTTTTGCTATGCATTTGTTAATGCTGACGTTTATAACCTTGAACTGTTTAGTATACATAACGGAATAGCATAGTCTGCGAAAGGACCTGATAAGGCCATTCACTGAGGATCTTAGGGCTTACTACATCCTTAAAAGACACATTGTTATATGTGCCCCTTCTTTCTAATAAAGTTTGGAAGTAGAATTATTGAATTCATTTTCACAATCTGATTTTCTCTCTCCTTGCAAGTATCTCATGCTCTAGGTAGAGAGAGAGTAATCTGCCATGTCTTCAATTACCTGATTATTTGAAGCACAAAATACAATTAGATTTGTAACTTATCTGAATAACCTGCACTTTTTAACTAAATATGCCATAGATGCTCATCCTGTGAACTCGGTTTGTATAACATACATTTTTGTTGTGAAACTAACAAATTAAGCATATCTGTAAAATTTCAAAAAAATGTTTCAAGGGCTAAATTAGGAGCTTGGTAGAAAAGGCAGGAAATTGCCAGGTCTCTCTTAGCAGTATTTTCATTTCTTAGCAATACTTTCATTTCTTCCTAGAGAAGAATCTCTTTTCACATGAGCTTGCAGTTTTGAGACCCTCTATCTCTTTACAAACTGTTTTTAGTTTTGGCTAACATTTTTAATAGAAGACTAATGCAGTGAGATATACTGCACACACACAAATCTCCAAAGTTGCGTATTTGTTTTAATATCTGTAGCTGACATTTATTGAGTACTTGCTATAAGCCAAGCAACATTGAAAGTGCTTTGTGTTTATTAACTCATTTATAATTTATCTTATAGGTGAGAATAAACTGAGGTTAAATGACAATGGAGATAACCAAAAGCCCATTAGAACACCACTAATTAAAAGCAGGGATTATAATACAGGGTGATCTCAGGGTGTCCCTAAAGTCCTATTTTGAAACCATAAGGCTTGTTGATTTTGAGTTAGTATTTTAGTGATCTCAGTGATCATACCAGAGTCCTTTTTAAGGGAAGAGATCAAAAAAGGTCAAGGATTTATTTCCCTTCTCTGGGTGAAACTTTTTTCCTGAAATTTCTTAATATCTTAATTTGTAAGATGTAGCTAGGTTCAGTATCCTCACTTGAAAAAGGAAATGGTCATAGGTTTTTAGCAAATCTCAAGAAGACAGAGTCACACTGATCCCTTTCTGTTCTTCTGTCCTACAGAACGGGTAAGGTCGGAGGTCTCCCCATGGCTCTCCTCAAATTTGTGTTTATTCTCCATATTGCATATTTTTCCCCAGTCCAATTTATTGGTCACTTATGCTTTGTTCTAGATGGCGCAGTGCCAGCCCAGTTCCTGAACAAGCCGTTTGCTAATCACCCCGAGTTTCCCTTTGGTAGATCACGCCCTTCACTGGTTAGTGTACTGAGTTAGCACATTTATCTCTTACTCTCCACATATAAGCAATTTCATGCATTTAAAGAGCCAAGCAAAGCCTCAGCTGACTGACCTCTCACCACCAGCATGGTCCCTTCTCCGGTCCGCTTGGCTCCTGGTTCCTTTGAAAAGGGAAGGACTATTCCACAGATGTAGATGGCACTGTCGTTGAGAGTCACCCTGTTCACAGTGAGGGAAACCTGATTTTGTGTCAGGGCTTCCTTCACTGTGAACTTGCCCGCATCGCTGGTGCATCCATCCAAGCAGAGGTTCTCCGGCTGGTGAGCTCCATAGCGAAACCACAGGCTTCTTGGTTGCTCTGCGGGGCACCCCACATGGGAGTAGGAACACTGAATGGTTATGGCTTCTTGGGTGTGGTCCATTTCGAGGTACTGTGGTTGAGAGACCGAGACTATACAGGCACGAGCAGCACCTGTGGGCAGAAGCAGATGAGCCATGTTTAGTGGGCTTCTCGCTTCCCTTTGCCTGTGCTTTTTTATTTAACTGACATTTTGGGGCTAGGGAACCCCAAACAGATTCCTTTCTTTCCCTGTTCTCAGCATAAGTAAGACTGTATTAATAAAACCCTGGTGGTCCTCACTTTTCCTGACTCCCCACATTTCCTGACCTTCACCTGCTGGTTTGCTGTGACATCTGATTACTTGAGGACAGAGAGGTGCCAGTGAAATCAGCGTTGCAGGCTGAGGTGGCTGCAGATCCAGAGTCAAAAAAATTGGGGTCCCGTGTTTACTCCTAGTGTGATTACAAGCTTTCCTTTGATCTCTCAGAGCCTGTTTCCTTATCTGTACCCCTGGCCTCACAGTGTTGTAGTCACTGTGGTGATGGGTATCAAAGCCCCTCAGTGCAGGTGTCGCTGCTGATGACTGGGCACAGGACACAGGAGCACAAGGGATTTTTTTTTTTTTTTTTTTTGCCTTGTGGGGGTTGGCATTGCTAGGAATTCATGGCAGTTCACAATTGTTCCTTTGTAAAGCCTGGTTGTCCCTACGGAAAACATAAAAGACAATGGTGCACACCTGCCGAAATACATCCCTTGCTTAGCCTACAGCGTATTCGGTTACTGAGCGGAGGCCTAATGAGCTAGCCTGGCCACAGCTAAGCAGACATGATTTCTTCCTGGCACTGATGCCCTGCTTTGTAGTCCCCGGTAGCTTCTATCTTGTTCAGTGAACAGTGTCGTAATAAAGAGCACAGACTTGAGTTTGGATCCTAGCTCTGTGATGTGTAGCAGAGTGAGGACGGTATATGCAGCTCGTGGAGTTAGTATGAAGTCTAAGTGAGACCATTGATGCATAAGCAATGTTTCCTTGGCTAAGCCTTAACAAGTACTTAATGAAAGGAGGCTATTTCTGCTGCCACTGTTCTCACCACTTCAGTTCCAATGGCGTTAGATGCCCATTTTAGAGATAACTGTGGGCGTTTCAGCAGGTGTCAGCAGGGCTAGGACCAGACACACACCCAGTCTACTGCTCTCTGCCATGCGCTTTGGCGAAGTTACGCTGGCTGGGTCCCCACCTTGGCCTTCTGATCTCGGGCCCGTGAGGTGGAAAACCACTCTGGTGTTTATAAATGGGAAGATCTGCCTGAACCCCTTTTGGGGTGAGGGAGGGCCTACATAAAACAGTATTGGTTGAGGCAAATTGGAATTCATGCAGGTTTTTAGCCTGACTTTAACCAGGTCTTTAACCTAACTGGTTATGTGTTCCAGATGATCTTATTTGTCTGAGTTTGTCCTTTCCTGCTGTAAATGAAATAGAAAAGTAATCCAAGTGGTCTGATGGCTTGAATTTCAGACAGGCTTTTTGTTTTGTTTTGTTTTGTTTTGCTTTGCTTTGTTTTTTAACTTAACAATTTTCCCATACCCTTAATCCAGAAGAGGAATTAAAATTTGAATCTTGGCATTTGTGATGCAAATATATTCTCACCATGGTTTAATTTCAGTATATGTACAGTTTGAGATGAGCTGGGAGCTTAGGCCAAATGAGAGGGGGAGGTCACCTGGAGAAGCAGCAGGCTTCTCACTGGTCTTCAGCTAAGGGATTGGATTCACTCCTATGTCTGGTAAATGAGCCTCACGTCTCCTACTCAGAGGCGCCCCCTAGAAGTACAAACACTTCACAAGGTATAATCATCAATATGTACTGGGGATTTGACTTGGAGCTGGACCCGCCATGATGTAACAGTTTGAAGTCCTTTCAGGTAGCATTTTAAAAGGGAAGCTGACTTTTAAACATTTTGGAGAACTAAGGCCCCGGGGAAAAAGCAATATTTGCAACTTTGGAGTTGTGTATCTCCAGTGATTTCCGACTTCTACACCGTTAGTCTGAGAGCCGAGAGCGGTCAGCCGTTTCCTCTGTGAGCGCCTGACTGGTGAGGAAACTGCCGTCCCTCCCCTGCACCAGTTAAGCAACATCTTTGCAAAAGAGAGAAGTTTGGATAACGGGTCACAGTAAGCCTGGTCCTACGAAGCTCTAAGAACTCTCATGTTCCGTAGGATTCTGTCTCTCTCTCTCTGTCTCTCTCTCAACTCAGGACCCGCTGAAAAGGTTGAAAGTTTATCTTCTTGGTGGAGGGAATAAAAAAATATCACTTTACTGTGATTCAAGCTGGAAAATAAATAGAAAACTGATTTTTGACACTAATTATGGAGAATTTCAAGCTTAGGCAGAAGTAGCAGGCTAGCACACACCCCTGCTGTTCTTTGTCCCAAAGTTGTCTGTCTCTCCCCTGACCTGGTCCTTTGCTCCTACACGATTTTAGGTAAATCTTAGTTATCCTCTCTTCACATCTGTCAGAGGATATCTTTAAAAGGTAAGGATTCTTGTTTAAAATAACACTAATGAAGGGGAGCCTGGGTGGCTCAGTTGGTTACACGTCTGACTTCGGCTCAGGTCATGATCTCATGGTTTGTGGGTTCGAGCCCCGCGTCAGGCTCTGTGCTGAAGGCTCGGGGCCTGGAGCCTGCTTCAGATTCTGTGTCGTCTTCTCTCTCTGCCCCTCCCCCGCTCACTCTGTCTCTCAAAAAATGAATAAATGTTAACAAAATTTCTTTTAAAAAAACACTAATGATGGGGCGCCTGGGTGGCACAGTCGGTTAAGCGTCCGACTTCAGCCAGGTCACGATCTCGCGGTCTGTGAGTTCGAGCCCCGCGTCGGGCTCTGGGCTGATGGCTCAGAGCCTGGAGCCTGCTTCCGATTCTGTGTCTCCCTCTCTCTCTGCCCCTCCCCTGTTCATGCTCTGTCTCTCTCTGTCCCAAAAATAAAAAATTTAAAAAAAAAAAAAAAACGTTGAAAAAAAAATTTAAAAAAAATTAAAAAAATAAAAATAAAAAAACACTAATGAAAATAGTTTAGGAAAACCATATATATGGATTAGGGGAAAAAATCAGAATATTATTGAAATCACCCATAGTCCTTTTGCCCAAAATAACCACTGTTAACATTTTGATCTATTTATTTACAGATGAGAAAAAAATTAATTTTAAGAGCTTTGCCACCTTCCCTGTCCTATGACCCAGACTTTGTGAGCAACTGAGATTATTAGCTTTATCACAACTCTGATAAGATAGATTATTAAAGCCACTTTCTCTTTCCTAGACAAAAACCAGTATAGGCAGAATTTTAAAAATAGATATAAGATGGTTATGCTGTATGGAAGGAGCCATGACAGCTTTTTTTTTTTTTTTAAATGACAAGTATTTTTTTAATTTGCACCAGGTTGGCTTTTCAGAAACATTGTTCTTTGAAAATATTCTCAGCACATATTGTTTAGTGCCTCTCATGTGCAGTGCGAGTTTGCCTGTATGGAAACTACATTGTTGATGACCACATGCAATTAAAAAAAATTTTTTAATGTTTATTTTTTAATATTTTTTAATGTTTATTAATTTTGAGAAAGTGAGAGAGAGAGAGCACATGCAAGCTGGGGAAGGGCAGAGAGAGAGGAAGACACAGAATCTAAAGCAGGCTTCCAGGCTCCGAGCTGTCAGCACAGAGCCCCCAGCGGGGCTCAAACCCAGAAACCATGAGATCATGACCTGAGCCAAAGTTGGACACCTAATTGACTAGCCACCCAGGCGCCCCGCAGCACATTCGATTTTAAGAACATTTTCAAGTCTTTTGTTTTTTGAGGTGCTCTTCCCTAAGGCAGCAAAGGGAATTTTCGAGGTTAATCTGAAACTTTTTCTCAGCTGTTCTTTTATTAACCTGTTTCTCTTGGGGGAAAAAGACCATCTCCATAGTGTTAGACATTTAAAAATTAATCCGTAGGGGCTTAAACTATAAATGCATTAGGTGAGAAGTAGCGATTGATTAAATAAAATGGAGGAGGAAAGAAAAGACCTTACCAACATAAAAGAGAATCAGATTGATTTCCAGGCCGAGGACGGTCTTGCCTCTCTTCACAGTCTCCATTTCGTTGTGTGTGAGCGTGTGGTGGTGGGGAGTGTGTGTTTGAAGAGAGTTGGCTTTTTTTTCTCTCTCTCTTTAGAAAGGAAGAACTAAAGAGAGGAACTCTTACTAAGGAACCACAATTGGGAACTTCTTGAAATTGTGTAAAAACTGTTTGTAACCCAGTTTCACCATTGAAAGTTGAGATTTTAGCCTAGAGCACATTTCTGAATGTTTATGTGATAAATTTTTTCTTAGATTTTACAAATCCTCATAGGTGTTAGGTGTTTTGAGTGGGGTTTTGGTTTACATGTAGTGTGTATTCCCAGGAAAGAACGATGACAGGTAATTCGTGCTTTAAACTTCAGAGTAGTTCAGTCACTGGCCCTGGGGCAACTGCTGTGTGCTCAGTGCTAGGCCAGTAACTGCTGGCAAGCTGGAAGAAGCAGAGGAAGTGTCTTCATACAGAGACAAGTGAAAAATTAGTGAACAATGAGAACTATGTTGTGTGACGGGAACTAGTTGTACCTTAGTTTTGTGTAACTAACCCCTTTGTGCTCTGTTGTTGGAATAAAACGTGGGCCCTGTGTTCGGCTCCCTCTTCCCCCACCTCCTGCCCCGTGGAGGCCTCATCGGTCAGGTTTTCCCTTGGAAGCAGCAGAAACTGACTCTGGCTGATGTAAGTGAAAGGGAATTTATTGAAAGGATTCGGCGGGGGGCCTCACATAGTCACTGGGAAGACTGGAGAGTTGTGTGGGGTCTACAGCCAAGCAATAGACATCATGGCATGGACCACACTCTGTTGTTCACGCCACTTAATGCTGCCCTAGCTGCTGGGTCTCATGGCCACTGCTCTCCGCCCCCCCCCCGCCGAGAAGGAGCCTGAGTCCAGCTTTTCTCAGTCACTAGCTCTTCATTTCATGTCTCAGGTGAGTGTGTCTGAGCTTAGGTCATGTGCCAGTGCCTTAGCTGTAGGGAACAGTGGGGAAAGCTGCTTCCCCAGGCTTTGCCTCCTGTAAGACTCTAGGAAGAGGGTCCAGGTGCTGGGCCACCAAGAAGAGTGAAAAATGTTTCCACTCTAGTATTTGTACTCTAGGCACCTATTGGTCTTATATTTTCTCACAGAAAGTTATTCTCTATCTGAATTTAGTAATACTTTTAATATGTGTGCATTTTTAAGACCTCACAATACCTTAAAGCACCCCAGAAATTACATATACCATTACCTGTGTGGGTCTGTGTGTCTGTAGTCACTGCTTAGTGTGTGAACTTGAAGACCTAAGACCTTACCCAGCCCCCTCCCTCGCCCCCATTCAGGCATCTTAAATGACTGTACAGACTTCAGCCACTATTCCCAGAAATGCTAGGTTGACTCCCCTTTCTAGTGTTCTACATCTCTCTGGTCTTGGAGCTTAACTTTTATAAAATTGTTATGAAAAGTTAAGAGAGTGGATCAACTTCCTTAAAAAACACACTGATGATCTTTGTAAATTAAACGCCTTCGTTGGTCTGTTTGCAGCCTGATAAACCTTTCTAGTCAATGCATTTCATACATATATTAGATCAGGAGTGTATTTTCTTGCATTTATCCCAACCTTTCCTTTGCATCTTATGGGTAACTCTCTGCTTCCATATTCCAGTACTTAAGGAGCAGTTTTCCAAGACCCATTAACTATTACAACCCAGTTGGTCTAACGGAGGCTAATACCTAAATCTGTCAGGGAAGGTAAATGTATGCGCTCTCGATCGAGATAAACCCGGAATTACATTTCTGCTCTCACCCTCAGTAACCTGGTTCCAGACTTCATCTTTTTGTCCTCATGCCTCAGGAGGAATCCTTCATCGAAGCACCAATTGTTTGGCACATGCCAAGTCCTTGGCCAATACCGTTCTTCCTCCCTTCTCTCTTTAAATAACTTGTTTGTTCAAGAATTTAACTTAATGTTTCTATTTGTTTTAGTAGGTGGCAAGTGGGAGAAGCCATCAGAAATTTTAGAAATCAAGGGACAGAACTGGGAAGAACAAGTGAATAGTCTGCCTGAAGTTTTCAGAAAAGCTGGTTTTGTTATTGAAGCTTTCACCAGACTACCGTACCTGTGCGAAGGCGACATGTACAACGACTACTACGTTCTGGATGATGCTGTCTTTGTTCTCAAACCAGTATAAACACGTGGAGGCCCAAGTCTTCAGAGCCCAACCCAAGAATGTACACTTCAGAAGAGGGTCTGCGTTGACGATTCTGTAAAGGGAGGACCTCTGGGGACTGCCATTCTAAATATCATGTAGGAATTTAAAGAGCCAAAATACTAATTATTTCTTTGTAGTGTGTAAAAGGAATGTTTTTAAAAAACAAAAACCCAACTCTTTGAGGATTTTTATCAACTCTTTACTCAGTAATACAGGCCACACTCCAATTATGGAAGATATTTTTTATACTTAATTGCAGTAGGGACTCATTCTCAGTCAAAGCAATAGTCATGACTTCACATGGAACCAATAAATATGGATTGTTTTTAATAAAATGAAGACTGGCAATAAAGCTGTCCATTCGATTGCAAATATTTGGTTATAAGGTATAGCCACTGATACTCTTTCATGTTTAGAAATTCTTTCTGTCATTATTCACAAAATGTTTTTAATCATGCTAATAAACTTTTTTGGAGATGACTCTGGCATTCTGTTTGAATTAATGTAAGGCTCCCCCTGGATCTTCTGTTGTTTTGGCTTCAGGGGTGCCCAAACAGTAGCATTGTGTGCAAGGTGTGGTTGACTTGCCGTAAAGAAAGGCTTCTGACTGGGACTGGGTGGGACTGGGTGGGGGCCTGCGAGGATTATTGCAAATTGCAGTGAACCCTGAGGCAGTCTAACCCTCAAACAACCTCATGCAGGTCACATACTTCAGGGATCACCCCCCACGCCCATGTCCTATTGCTTTGGCAAATGCAAAACACTGACTTCTGTCTCTGTGATAACTTCCACCCTATACTCAGAATTGTGTTTTCCTAGACAATCTCAGGCTCTCAGAATTGAAACATTCACTCGCCTGCTGACAAAATGCAGTCTGCCTAAAAATGTTTTAATTCAACTTCTCACTCCACACGTGTATACCTCTTTCCCAGAATCTGGTTCTTCCTAAAATCCTTTCCTGACTTTATTGGCCAAGAATATGGATTGATGAAGAAAGACCATGTCAGACTCATACATTCTAGAATCCGTGAGTGCCTCCAACCATATACCCACAAATGTTGCAATAGAGGAACTCATTAGCAAGATCAATAACCATTGTGCACATTCCAAAGAGAGCAGAGCACTTAACCCGGAATCTAAAATCTCAGTAATAACAGAGACGTGGATTTGAGATGGTGGTTATTAACAATATGTTGTTCTCATGACTTTGTTCCTTTTTTTGTCAGCCAGGTGTTTCATTAAATATTCTCATTTATATGCTCATAGAAGTCATCAAGTCAACACATTTACTGCAACACCTGGGTATAAAGGAGAATTAAAGCCTTGGGAAGAATTACTTTATTATTCATTAAGAACAGCATTCCCACATCCTCACACCAGTATCTGTCACTGTTATCGTGTTGTCATAAGAAGAGTTGGGTTATGTGACTTATGCAAAAATTTTTATTGGTTCATTCTAGTGCTTTTTTCTGTGGAATTCAAATAAGTGAAGTGCAAATACTTAGCACCCTAGATTATAAAAATAGAGTAAATGAGTGAACTTAATTTAGTTATTACATAGTTGAGTTTTGTTTCTTTAGAAATTGTCATAATCTTGCCGTTTAGACTGTCAAGCAAGAGTGCAAGAGTGATGGATATTCAAAGAGGCAGGTTGCTGCAAAGTTTTATAATTTGGAAATCAAGAATTAATTTGATGGTCTATTTAAAAAAAAAACAACCCTCTCTTTATCCAAAAGAAAGCAGGGCAAGCACATTCATTTATGCATTGCACGGATACAAATCGTTTCTCAAAATCTGAGGTTCTCTGAAGACCAGCGTATTAAAAGTTCCGTTTTATGATGAAAATTTAAATAAGCAAATCCAATCACATTTGTGAACCTGATCTTGAAAGTCTTGCTGGCGTGTGACCACTCCACTAGGTGGCAGTATTGCTTACTGAGTATCCTTGGCTTTCCTCCCCGTCCCCCCCTTCCCCCACCCAAGGAATCCTGTTTTTTCCCCAAAGTGCAATAAAGCTGCCTTCTTTTCTGCACCATTCCTTGTGTAAGTGCTTCGTATCAAGTTTAAGATTGTGCTAGAGAAATTAAGAAGAGCCGTATTTGTGGTCAAAGCACGTTAACCTATTGACCTGGAAGGTCATGGGGAAAGTTAAGGCAAGCTGCACCTGTGATTCCCAGCTCCTTGTAGCTGCAGTGTAAACCCCTTGAGTGTTCAGGCTGCTGATTACAGAGGAGGGAAGGAGAGAAGATACAATACCCTCAGCCATTGCTCCCTTGTGCAGAGTAGTTAACGATGATAGTATATTTGACCCTTCTGTATGTCTTCCCGGTTTTTAGAGAGTTGACCTTCAACAGACAAGAAGCTGGGCTGGGAAATAAAGTAAAACTTAGTTGGTTCACGTCCTCTTGCTGATTAAAGCTTTGTTTTCACTTAGATCTGAACACAGTGTTTAAATTGATTCATACTGCAGTTATTTGCATCAGTTGCTTCCCACTACTTGGTTACTGATAGACATGTTTCATGATCCTTTTTTCTAACAACTACAGCACATACTCAATGTGGACCTCCAGTGACTGAAGGTGATCTACCACATTTGTGCGGATAGCTGAGTACCGTCCAAATAAGCTTCTAGCCGGCACATCCATGTTCCGGTTGGAAAACGGAGCACTGAGTCAGGGCCAGTCTGGTCTGACTCGTACCGCCTGGGCACCCACTGAGCACGTACTGGGACTTCCAGTTGACTTGAAACCAGATGCTCACAAACTTACAACCAACTTATCAAAGATACGCCATCATGAACTGGCAGAAGAAGTTCATACTGTAATCACGCGAAGAAACATTTGTAATCTAAGTGGAAATACACACCCAGAATCATTAAGGAAATATTGCTGCAATATAAAATTCGACAGCCTGCCTTTTTGCAGTTAGTGGGTGATGAGACAATAGTTAGGCAACAGGGAACAGCACAATAAAAATTAAAATTTTATATCTACTGTAGCTATGTATAGGCATTCATATTTCACTGCTTCCTTTATCGATTCTAATATACGTGTTGTCTTTGTCTTCTATGTAGAAGAATTAATTTGAAGTTTTTCGAGTTGTCACTTTAAAAAAACTTATTAAAAAAATTTTTTTAACATTTATTTATTTTGGGGAGGCAGAGACAGAGCATGAGTGGGGAAGGGACAGAGAGAGGGAGACACAGAATCCAAAGCAGGTTCCAGAATGTGAGCTGTCAGCACAGAGCCCAACGCTGGGCTTGAACCCACAAACCGCAAGATCACAACGTGAGCCAAAGTCGGACACTTAACTGACTGAGCCACCCAGGTGCTCCTAAAAAATTTATTTTTAAATAAATTTTCTATATTGGTATAACGTTGGATTTAGAGAAATTTTGCAGAGATAGTACAAAGAGTTCCTGTACACCTTTAACCTAATTTCCCTAATGTTAACTTTTTTTTAATGTTTATTTACTTTTTTTTTAATTTTTTTTAACGTTTATTTATTTTTGAGACAGAGAGAGAGCATGAACAGGGGAGGGTCAGAGAGAGGGGGAGACATAGAATGCGAAACAGGCTCCAGGCTCTGAACTGTCAGCACAGAGCCCAACGCGGGGCTCGAACTCACGGACCACGAGATCATGACCTGAGCCGAAGTCAGCCGCTTAACTGACTGAGCCACCCAGGCGCCCCAATGTTTATTTACTTTTGAGAGAGAGAGACAGAGACAGAGACAGAGTAGGAGCGGAGGAGGGGCAGAGAGAGAGGGAGACACAGAATCGAAGCACGTTCCAGGCTCCGGGCGGGCAGCACAGAGCCCAATGTGGGGCTCAAACCTACAAACTGAGATCATGACCTGAGCCGAAGTTGGACACGTAACCAACTGAGCCATCCAGGCGCCCACCTAATATTAACATTTTATGTAGCTATGGCCTGTTTGCCAACACTAAGAAATTAGCATTGGCATAATCTACATAAACTACAGAGCATTGGGATTTTGCCCATTTTCCCACTAATGAACCTTTTCTGTTTTAGGAGCCAGTTCAGAATACCGTATCCCATTTAGTTGCTTACTTTAAAAATTATTAGTGTTCCCTGACAACAGTACCATTATTTCTCTTCCAATTTCTTTTAAAGTTTATTTATTTGAGGGGGGAGGGCAGAGAGAGAAGAGAGAGAAGCCTATGCAGACTGTGCTGATGGCTGTCTCACAGCACAGAGCCCAATGAGGGGCTCAATCCCACGAACTGTGAGATCATGACCTGAGCCTAAACCAAAAGTTGGATGCTTAACCTACTGAACCACCCAGGCACCCCTCTCTTCCAATTTTTTAAGATGTAGTAAAATACACATAACAACATTTACCTCCTTAACCATCTTTAGGTATATAGTGGTATTTAGTACATTCATGCAGTGCAACCATCACCACTGTCTGTCTTTAGAACTCTTCATTTCATAAAACTGAAACTCTGTACCCATTACTTCCCATTTCCCCTTCCTCTAGCCCCTGACAACCACCATTTTGCTTTCTATGAATTTGACTATTCTAGGTTCCTCATGTAAGTGGAATTATACAGTATTTGTCCTGGCAGAGAGAGAGAGGGAGACACAGAATCCAAAGCAGGCTCCAGGCTCTGAGCTGCCAGCACAAAGCAGGAGAGGGTTTGAACCCACGAACCGTGAGATCATGACCTGAACCGAAGTAGGATGCTCAACTGACTGAGCCACCCAGGCGCCCCTGTTTTTCTTGATAGTAGCCATCCTAATGGATGTGAGGTGTTATCTCCTGGTTTTGATTTGGATTCCCTAATGATTTGTTTTTACAGCACAACTGGTATGGCATTGGGTTTCATTTACTAGTAATTGGTGCTTTGTGGCTTGCTATTTATATTGATATCACTGAATTGGAATCCGTGCTGATACCAAAGTACTTCTTTTTAGCTAGGAAATTGTATACTTTTGGAGAATTAGGAGAGTATTATTACATAACTAGAACTTAAGATTTCCCTCTGGATTTTAGAGTCAATATGCTGTATTCTCATGAATTAAATAGTGCATTGTTGTTACAAGGCCATTTAAGAATCATTTTCAATATTGTATATGTAAAAATGAAAAGATTCCCACCCCCCCCACCGCAAATAAATGACCATGTAAAATTGGAATGTCTTATACACCTGCACTTCTAAAGTCCTAGAAAATAATTAAGAACAGATACAATACCCAGATGCTGTTTTCTTATATCCTGTTTAGGAGTCAATGCAGAATATGTATTTTTTTTTAATGTTTATGTATTTTTGAGAGAGAGAGAGAGAGAGAGAGAGAGAGAGAGAGAGAGAGAGAGAGAGAGAGAGAATGAGCAGGGGAGGGGCAGAGAGAGAGGGAGACACAGAATCCAAAGTAGGCTTCAGGCTCTGAGCTGTCAGCACAGACGTGGGGCTCGAACTCACAAACCACGAGATCATGACCTGAGCTGAAGTCAGACACTTACTTAACTACTGAGCCACCCAGGTGCCCCCAGAATGTTGGTTTTAAATGTCCTTGAACCCTCAAAAATTGTCACATGGTATTAGAGTTGAGGTAGTTGAGAATATACTGCAATCTTTTTTATACTCAGCAGAACAAAACAGTTTTTCCTACACTTGATTTTGCCACCTTTTTCCTTTTTTTTCTTTTTCTTTTTTAACTGTCAGCTGTACACCCAACATGAAGCTTGAACTCACAACCCCAAGATCAAGAGCCACATGCTCTACAGACTGAGCCGGCCAGGCACCCCTGCCACCTTGTTTTTATTATTTATAAGGTGGCTGTGACTGATCATAAAGCCTTTGCTGCTTTTTGTATTATAAGTGACATGTTTGTTACCAAAAAAATAAATCTACAGAAGGCGAAATGAAGAAAACACAAATAAACTACCAATCTACAAACCTGAGAAAACAGTATTAACATTTTGGTATGTGCTCTCCTGGACTTTTTTTCTATGCCGTGTATACCCACACATATACACGTTTATAAGCTTTTAACATTAGAAAATGTAAAAATGAAATGTAAAAATGTAAAAATTTTATCCTTGCAGGATGAGTTATGTGAAACTCACAGATACCTATTTTCTAAATCAAAAGTTGACAAAGGATGGAAGAGATTTCCCACCATTTAAGGCTTGAGAGTAAGCTTCTTGGTTAAAGGACTAAACCAAGGGATAAAAGGATTTTTTGGACAATGCTGAACACTAGTATTATATCGATATCAACCAGAGAGCAACAGAACAGTACAGGTGGCCATTTCTGAAGAGAAGGTCTAATTTTGCTCTGAGAAAATAATGTCAGCATTAGGCATTTTAGCTATTTAAAAATGTTCATGTATTGAGATGTGTTTCATTAAAGTTGAACGATTGCCAGAAAATCTCTAGAGTTCACAATTATGTTTTCACTAGAAAAGATGTAAAACAGTTCTGTAGAATCCCACCATGCAAACCCAAGACTTCAGTGTACTTTCTCCCAGTTTTAATAAAAGTGCATGCACATGGTACTTAATATTTGGCTTTTTTAAATTATAAAATCATTTCCTTGAATTACTATTACATGGTCTTTGTTAATGCCCATTTAAAAATGTTTTTAACATTTACTTTTTTTGAGAGACAGAGCGCGCGAGCAGGGAAAGGGGCAGGCAGAGAGAGGGAGACACAGAATCCGAAGCAGGCTCCAGACGCTGAGCTGTAAGCACAGAGCCCTACACAGAGCTGGAACCCACAAACCGTGTGATCATGACCTGAGCCGAAGTCAGGTGCTTAACCGACTGAGCCACCCGGGTGCCCCATGGGATTAAAAAAAAAATTTTTTTTAATGTTTATTTATTTTTGAGAGAGTGAGAGAGACAGAGTGTGTGTGAGCAGGGGAGGGGCAAAGAGAGAGGCAGACACCAAATCCGAGCCTGCTGCAGGCTCTGAGCCATCCACACAAGTCCCCACATGGGGCTTGAACCCACTAACCAGGAGATCTTGCCCTGAGCCAAAGTCAGATGCTTAACTGACTGAGCCACCCAGGCGCCCCCAAAACATAAGGACTTTTAACAGAACCACATTGCAATGCTCACAACTAAAAAACGTAGCCTTTACGTATCCAGTGATCACGTTGCTCCGACAGTCTTATAATTTGTTAACAGTCTGTTTGCATCTGGATCCGAATAAAGTCCCTGGATCCGAATAAAGTCCCTACGTTGCAATTGGTGGCTCTATCTTTAACTTTTCAACCTCCCTCCCTGGCTGCAATCTCAGAGAGGGGCGGGGCAGAGTGCATTTCGCCCGTCCTCAGGCGGCACACCGGAGTCTGGAGAGAAAGCCCCAGACTCAGGCTGTGACCCCGCGGCTGCGGCGTTTCCACTCTCCCCTGCGGGAGTGGAGGTCGAGCCCGGCAGGTTGGCACCGCCCCCACCGCTCGCCCCCGCCCCTGGTGAGCCCTGTGGCCACGCCCCTCGCCCCTCACGCGCGAGTCACAGCGGTGGAGCCGGCACCGCAGGTGAGGCGCGCTTGGCGGGCCGGGGCGCAGGGGCCGTGCGCGGGCCGGGGGCGCGCCACGGGGCCTCCCCAGGGAAGGGGCAGAAAAGGGTGCTTGGGGCTGGGGTGGGTTGCAGCCGTGGGGGCCGCGAGAAAGGAGAGCGAGCCAAGGGCAGACACAGAGCCTTTAAGGACTCTTGATGGGGTGTGTGTGTGTGTGTGTCTGTGTGTGTAAACTTCCAGGAAAGGGATTCAAACCCACTTAATAATAGTAATAAGAACAGCAATGATGGAAACGTTTGTAATAATGACAGCAGCTGCAAAAATAATAGCACTAATAATAATAGCCATTATTCACTGAGTGTTTATATGTGCCAGTGCTGGCTCAGTTCTTTACCTATTTTCTATACAAGGCTATTCCTTTTTTTTTTTTTTTAATTTTACTTTTTTTAAATTGACATCGAAATTAGTATATAGTGCAACAATGATTTCAGGAGTAGATTCCTTAGTGCCCCTTACCCATTTAGCCCATCCCCCCTCCCACAACCCCTCCAGCCACCCTCAGTTTGTTCTCCATACTTATGAGTCTCTTCTGTTTTGTACTTCTCCCTGTTTTTATATTATTTTTGTTTCCCTTCCCTTATGTTCATCTGTTTTGTCTCTTAAAGTCCTCATATGAGTGAAATCATATGATATTTGTCTTTCTCTGACTAATTTCACTTAGCATAATACCCTCCAGTTCCATCCACGTAGTTGCAAATGGCAAGATTTCATTCTTTTGGATTGCTGAGTAATACTCCATTGTGTGTGTGTGTGTATATATATATATATACATCTTCTTAATCCATTCATCCATTGATGGACATTTGGGCTCTTTCCATACTTTGGGTATTGTTGATAGTGCTGCTATAAACATTGGGGTGCATGTATCCTATACAAGGCAATTCTTTACATATTTCCCATATTTTACCTCTTGGCTGTTGTGAGCAAGAAATGGGAAAATGCACCCAAAGCAAATAGCACCTACACCGACACTGCTTGGTATCAATTGATGAACTTTGCAAATGCTAACACAGCCTTCCTGAGGGAGGTACTGCTTTGAATCAATTGATGAACTTTGCAAATGCTAACAACAGCCTTCCTGAGGGAGGTACTTTCGTCATCCCCATTGTATAGAGGAGGAAATGCAAGCCCAGAGAGGTTAAGGAGTTTGTTCAAGAGCACAAATTGGGTGGTTCAAATTAAAGTGGAGCTCCTATCCTTGAGATGGCACTGGCCACCTGGAGTTTTAGGTTCCAGGTGCGGAGCAGAGAGGCTGGAGGGCAGAGCTGGTCAGTGCTTGGGATCTGGGCTCTGGGTTTGGACACCCACCCTTCCACTCAGTAGCTGTGTGACCTTGGGCCGGTGGTTTGACTTCTTGTAACCAGTTTCCTTCTCTGAGAAGCAGAGATAATGGTAATATTTGCCTCAAAGGTTCTGCAAGGATTCAGTGAGACCGGGTATTTAGAGGGATGCGTACTTAGTTCTCTCTCAGTCGGTAGTTGCTGGGATTATGACTAGCCAGGCAGCCCCACATTGGGACTCCCTGTTATCTGCTTGTTGTGTGACCTCGTGTTTCCATGAACTCATTTGTGAAACCCAGGAAAGTAAACCTTCGGTGTGTTGGAGAGAGTAAGTGGAGGGGAGGGTCTGGCGTGATGCTGGCACATGGTAGGTGCTCAGTGAGACTTTTCTTCCTCTCCTTTTATCTCAGAATCCCAAACCTTCCATTTTGTCCCCCTGAGACTAAAAGAGGAAGGGGAAGGTCTGTCCAGAGTCTTCCCCTCAAAGGCAGAGCTGGGGCAAGAGCTCAGGCCTCCATGCCTCTAGTCCAGAAAGTAAGCAGTCTTTTGACTTGTGTGCCTGCTGTGAGCCTGGCCATTCTAACACCAAACCCAGTTCAATCAGCCTGTTATTCTACAAGCCAGACGAGTTCGCCCACTTTGCATTAATAGCAATGAAAATTGTACCGTGATTTTTTTTTTTCGCTGGAAAATCTCCAAGTTAGTATCTGTATGGCCCATATATATGCACCCATGATGCAGACCTTACATCGGGCTGCTTTGCAGACAGTAAAACTCCATATAATTGTGAATTGTTGGTTTGTGTTTGGGATGGGATGTGCCAAAATTGGGGGAAATTCCCAGCATTTCAACAAGTTTCATAGAGGGTGAAATGTTTCTCATCTGTAGGGTGACCAGCTTATCCTGCTTTGCCTGCTACTTATCCTGTTTTTTTTTTTTATTATTTATCTTTTTTGGGGTGGGGGGGAGTGCAAGCGGGGGAGGAGCAGAGAGAAGGGGACAGAGGATCCCAAGGAGGCTCTGTGCTAACAGGCTGATCCCAGAAAGCACGATCTGGGGCTTGAACTCAGAACCACAGGATCATGACCTGAGCCAAAGTTGGATGTTCAACCGACTGAGCCACCCACGCGCCCCACAACTTTTCCTGTTTTAAAGCTGAACTGTGTGTCCCAGGAAACCCCTCAGTCCAGGGAAACTAGGATGGTTGGTCTCCCTGTTCATCTAAATTCTCCCTCGTGGTTTCTCGGGAAACTGTGTTCCTTTCTGGTTTGTGGTTGTTGCTGTTTTTCATAGGTTCCACCAAGGCGGCCCTAGCCTGCCTGATTTCCACCAGTCTGCAGGTGGCTGGGCAGTGGTGGGATGGGGTGGGGGTGGGTGGGGAAGGGGAGGGGCCCTTGGAGAAAGCAATCAACTCCCAAATCATTATTGCTCTGCACACTCCATTCAATCCTTTTGGCCAGCCTCCTGAAAGAGAATGGCCCAAAGAGCTTTTAATTAAAACCAAATCCCGTACTGGTGATGCTCTGGGGTTTCCTTGGAACGAAGACATTATGTGCAGCAGAAAGCAGGGCATCTGTTTCAGTAATCATATACCTCTCCGTAGAGTTAATAGGGAGATGCTGGCAATAAGCACAAGAAGGCTCATTGTCTGGGAAACTGGAGAATTGTGAATGAGGCCAATGCCCCAGGGCAGCTGACCAAAAGGGAAGGGAGAAAAAAGGGCCAAAGTTTCCCCAAAGCCCAAAAGACCCAAACCCAGTAAGAGTTATTATGAGAGTTGAATGTACCAGCCTTGGGGGTGGGATTGGTGGGGCAGAACAGGTCTACAAAGTGCTTTGCGATCCTCTTCCCTCCAAACCTGTTGGCAGTTTGCACCTTCTGGTGTTTGTAGGTTTCAAAAGTTTCAGTTTGTTTTTGCCCTGGGCGGTAAGATGAGCATAATTGTTTTCAGAGCTGGTTGTGGAAGTGCCCTTGGGGGTTAAAGAATCTGTTTGCTCAAGAAAGCTAGATAATACCAGGGAAATCTGTATGAAAGAATGCTGGGGGGCCTATAAAATAATCTTAAGAATCCGTGGGTGTGCATTATGGGGGTTCCCTTCAAGTTCCTGTTAGTACCCCCAAGAGGATGGTGTCCTGTAATTGGGGTGTGGGTTGCCTGAGAGTGAGATGAAGCAAAACACAGTTCCCAGTTTTTATCTGATGTGACCTATAAATTTTGAGTGGTTCCCCCTCCTCCTTCCACTTGACCTGAAAGACCCTCCTGTTTTGCTGGTGGTGCCCACCCTATCAGCCCATCCTATCAGCTTCCTTCCCCTTTCCCCTCATCTGTCCACCCTCTTTTTTTTTTTTTATTATTATTTATTTAAGAGAGACAGAGAGCTCCAGAGGGACGGGAAGAGTGAGAATCCCAAGCAGGCTCCACATGGATCAGAGTAGAGCCTGATGTGGGGCTGGAACTCACAAACCATGCCCTGAGCTGAAACCAAGAGTCAGAGGCTTAAGTGACTGAGCCACCTAGGCGCCCTGCTCTCCACCTTCTTTCACTAACATCACACAGTCTCCTATGTTGCTTTCTCTTTTAAAAATCATTTACACGGGGGGCGCCTGGGTGGCTCAGTCGGTTGAGCGTCCAACTTCGGCTCAGGTCGTGATCTCACAGTCTGTGAGTTCGAGCCCTGCGTCGGGCTCTGTGCCGACAGCTCAGAGCCTGGAGCCTGTTTTGGATTCTGTGTCTCCCTCTCTCTCTGACCCTCCCCACTTCATGCTCTGTCTCTCTCGGTCTCAAAAAAGTAAATAAAGGTTAAAAAAAAAATTAAAAAAAAATCATTTACATGGAAAATTTCAAACACCTACAAAAGGAGACATAAGAATTTAACGAACCTCATGTACTCATCACTCAGCTTCAGTTGGCAACCCATAACCACCTCCCACCTACTTCCTCCCCTATTATTTTCAAGCCATCTCCAACACCACATTTCTTCTGTAAATATGTAAGTGTGTAGCTCTGAACGCGGGCTTGGCAGACTTTTCAGCATAGGAACAGAGAATAAATATTTTCGGCTTTGTAGATCTCACAGTCTCTGTGGCAGTGTGCAAGTGACTGTAGACAATACAGAAATGAACGGGCATGGCCCTGTTCCAATAAAACTTTACTTATGGACGCTAGCATTTCAATTTCACGCGTGAAATTGTCGTGGGTCAAGAAATACTGCTCTTTTGTTTTTTTTTTTAATTTTTGTTTTACATTTTATTTATTTTTGAGAGAGAGAGAGAGAGCGAGCACAAGTGGGGGAGGGGCAGAGAGAGAGGGAGACACAGAATCCGAAGGAGGCTCCAGGCTCCGAGCTGTCAGCATAGAGCCTGATGTGGGGCTCGAACCCACAAACCATGAGATCATGACCTGAGCCGAAGTCAATTGCTTAATTGACTGAGCCACCCAGGCGCCCCTCTTTTGTTTTTTTAAAACACTATTTAAAGATACAAACACCAGGGGCGCCTGGGTGGCTCAGGAGGTTAAGTGTCCAACTTCAGCTTGGGTCATGATCTCACAGTTTGTGAGTTCGAGGCCCACATAGAGGCTCTGCTGTCCGCATAGAGCCTGCTTCACATCCTCTGCCCACCCCCCCTCGCCTCTCCCCCTCTTGCTCTCTCTCTGTGTCTCAAAAATAAATATTTAAAAAATATATATAAAAGCCACTTTTAGCTTGTGAGCCACACAAAACCAGGCAGCTTGTTTGAATTGGGGTGTGGTTTGGTGACCCCTTGTTGGAGAGGATCATTTGAGAGATGACATGACTGTTGGTGGACCTGTGAGCTGGTGCCAGTTAATCGGAGGCCCTGCATCCCCTGCCCGCTCCTTGGAGTGTCCTCTGTGGCCCCCTTTCCTGCACTAGGAGCCATTTCAAGGAAGCCGACTCCAGGCAGCTGCCTGCAGCACTTCGAGGGCCCAGTATGTTTGTGTTTGTATAAGGGGGAACCTCAGTTTTCACTCCTGAGTAGGGAAACCCAGTTCTCCACCTCCTTCTTTGTTCTTTTTCTTGTGAGTCTTCGAAACCCAGTGTCTCCTTTACCACCCGCACAAAGCACGAGACACGAACACTTCTGACGCTTCTGGTCACCAAAGATGTGGACGTTTTCCTTACACCACGCGATTCCGTAATGCCAGCTGGGTGTCCTGCAGTTTAACTCCGTTCTGACACCATCCACCTGGAGGTACAGTCCTATCCCATAGGTTAAAGGCTCAGTCCCAAAAGACTGGTCCCCTCCTGTTCCACTTCAATACCAGCTGCACGTAGTAGGTCTCCAGGTTACCTACAACTTCTGTGTGATGTGGCTACATTGCCAGGTGAACTGGGGAGACCCCGGGCCCCTGGGATGTCAGCCCAGCCAGACCTGGGTCTAGTCTTGTCGGGACACCTGGGTGGCTCCATTGGTTAAGCATCCGACCCTTGATTTTGGCTCAGGTCGTGATCTCATTGTTCCTGAGATGGAGCCCCAGGTAGGGCTTCATTCTAACAGCTCAGAGCCTGCTTGGGATTCTCTCTCTCTCTCTGTCCCTCCCCCACTTTTGCATGCACGCGCTCTCTCGAAATGAACAAATAAGCTTAGAAAAAAAGAGGTTCTTGTTCTTGTCATGAGAATGAATTCAGGGACAGACATGCAGCACGGCAGATGAGCAACACAAGCGGGAAAGTTTATTAAGGCGAAAGCACACTCGCGAGAAATGAGAGCTGGGAAGCTCAGAGAGCAGTACGGCTGGCGGGTTGGGTTTCTATCTTCAATTGGCAGTTGCTAATTTGTGGTGGGGGAGGGGACATATTCATTTCTTGGGGTGGGAAGCAGGGTTTCCGCTTTTTCTTCCTAATTTGGCCAGGGGTTTCCTGTCATGGCTTCTGCCATCTTGGGCCTGTCTGGTTGGATCCGGTTTCTTGTGGAGTGCTGCCTGGACGGGGCTCTGACCTTCCCCATGGCTGGCCAGGACTTCCTTGTTGCTGGCCTCCAGGCGTCCTGTCCCAACCTAACTAAGCCTGTTCGAACAGCTACAAATTGGAGGTTCCCACAGCTGCTTCCTCAGGTTTGGTCAATTTGCTAGAGCAGCTCACAGAACTCAGGGAAACACTGACTTTCACCAGTTTATGGAAAGATCAGACAAAGGATGCAGATAAACAGCTAGATGAAGAGATACGTAGGACAAGGTCTGGGAGGGTCCCAAGAGCAAGAGCTTCTGTCCCTGTGGAGTTGGGATGTGTCACCCTCCTGGTGTGGATGTGTTCATCAACCTCAAAGCTTCCAGACCCTCTACTGTTGAGATCTTATGGAGGCTTCCTCACATAGGCACCATCAATTATTAAGTCCCTTTTCCGCCCTTCTCTCTTCTCTGGAGGATGGGGGTGGGGCTAGAAAATTCCAAGCTTCTAATCATGGCTTGGTTTTTTTTTTCTGGTGACCAGTTCCTGGCCAGGAGCCAACCAGGAGCCCACCCAAAGGTGCCTCAATGGAACAAACGATGCTACTATTACTTTTTCCACTTAGGAATTTACCAAGGTTTTAGGAGCTCTGTGCCAGGAACACAGGGCAGAGACTGATTTTTTTTTTTATAATCTCAGTTTCCCTTCTCTTAGGATCTCAGCCTTGTTGTTGGTCAATGTCTGAAAACCTTTGCTTCATTATTTTGATTGGTTTTCGAATTATTTAAGGCAGGAGGGTTTATCTACTGCCAATTACTTCCACCTGGAAGCAAAAGTCCCAACTTCCTACTTATTGGTGAGTGATTTTCCACTGAATGGTATTTGTTGAAAGTTTCACCTGTGCTTGGACATTTGGGTTGCTTCCAGTTTTTGGTTATTATGAATGAAACTGTACAAGTATTTGTGTAGACATAAGTTTTAATTTCTCTTGGGTAGATACCTAGCAGTGGAATTCCTGGATCAGAGTATTGCATGTTTAACTTTATAAGACATTGCTGAACAATTTTCCAAAGTGGCTGTATTAGCAGTGCATGAGTTCTGGTTGCTCCATCATCATCGACCCTTGGTATTGTCAGTCTTTTAAACTTTTAGCCATTCTAGTGTATGGAGTGGTATCTTTAAAGAGATATTTTATTTTTTTAATGTTTATTTTTGAGAGAGAGAGAGAGAGGGAGACAGAGTTCAAGCAGGGGAGGGGCAGAGAGGGAGACACAGAATCTGAGGCAGGCTCCAGGCTCTGGGCTGTCAACACGGAGCCAGGCACGGGGCTCAAACTCACGAACCGAGAGTTCGTGACCCAGGTTGAAGTCAGTCGCTTAACTAACTGAGCCACCTAGGAGCCCCTAAGATTTTGTTTTTAAGCAATCTCTACATCCAGTATGGGGCTTGAACTCACAACCCCGAGATCAGGAGTCTCATGCTCTATTGACTGATCCAGCCAGGCGCCCCTATGTAGTGGTATCTAATTGTGAATGTAATTTACATATTCCTGATAACTAATGATGCTGATCATCTTTTATGAGTTTACTGGCCTTTTGTTGTTGTTGTTGTTTAAAATGAAGTTTAGGTTTGTATCTTTTCTTCCCTCTGGCTTATCTTCTAGTTACTGAATTGTAAGAGTTCTTCTTTATAGTCTAGATATAAACCCCTTGTCAGATATAACAGAGCCCACTCCTCTGCTGGATTGAGGAGAAAGGAGCAGGTATAAGAATATAAACAGGCCACTGTTGTCATCAAGGGGAGAGATGATCATGTCTTCAACGAGCATAGGGGTTTAGATGGAACAAGGTACATGGAATTTAAATTTTATTTTTATTTATTTTAGTTTATTTGTTTATTTTGAGAGAGTGTGAGTGAGGGAGGGGCAGAGAGAGAGAGAGAGAGGGAGAGAATCCCAAGCAGGCTCCTTGCTGCCAACGTGGAGTCTACGCTGGGCTCAAACCCATGAAGTACAAGATCCTGACCTGAGCCAAAATCAAGAGTCAGATGCCCAACTGACTGAGCCACTCAGGCACCCCTAAAATTAGTTAATTAATTAATATTACTACTAATATTTTAATGTTTTTTTGAGAGTGGGGAGGGACGGAGAGAGAGGGGGATAGAGGATCCAAAGTGGGCTCTGCACTGACAGCAGAGAGCCTGATGGGGGGCTTGAACTCACGAACTGAACTCATAAGCTTTGAGATCATGACCTGAGCTAAAGTCGCACACTCAACCTACTGAGCCACCCAGGCGGCCCCCGACTAAAATTTGTTAAAAAGAACCTCAAGAGATTCTGGATCTATTTGTTTTTCCCTTTTGTCTTCTGAACATTCTTAATTATATTTAAAAAATACAAACCTGAATTACCTCTGTGCTTGCATTAACTACAGGAGGATGTCCCGGGAACCTAGGACATACATTCTTTTCCTGTTCCTTTTTCTGAGCCATGGAATGGCAAGTCATAGAGTTCCAGATTCCAGGCAGGGTAAGTCCTGAGGGAGGAACAATCTGTCATAGTTTCCACACATTTTAGGGAATGTAGTGGGGGTAGATCAACGTAGGTACATGATACTGTGAAGTGTTTTGGGAAGTGTGCATATGTGTGAGTGTGTCCATCCACATATATATGTAGGATTTTCAGGATTATTCTAAAAGGGTTTTTCTTTTTTTAAAGTTTACATTTTATTTTGAGAGAGAGAGAGAGAGAGAGAGAGAGCGAGCAAGCAAGCAGGGAAGGGTCAGGGAAAGAGGAAGACAGAATCCCAAGCAGGCTCTGCACTAATAGCTCAGAGCCCGACTCAGGGCGCGAACTCATGAACCATGAGATCATGACCTAAGCTGAAGTCAAGAGTCCGATGCTTAACTGACTGAGCCATCCAGGCTCCCCTAAAAGGGTTTATCAAACCAGAGTTTTCTCACACTGGGCATATATTGGCACAGGTAAAATTAAAATTCACTAAAATTTTCCCTCATGAGTCAGTCTTTTTTTTCGGGGAGGGGGGCTCTTTTCCTAACCCATGTTTATATTTCTGAAGATTATACCATTCAGTTCTAATTATACTTCCAATGGCTTTCTTACAGATTTGTATCCCCTGTTGCAAAAAATGGCGGTGAGTATCCCGTTTTCTTTGAATCAAACTCTCCTTTACTGGAACTGCCAACTTTGGGTGTTTTACTTGACATTATTTCTTTGCCTTTTAGGAAGAAATAATAGATGGAAGCTATCTGAATGGTAATGTCCCTAATCTGTCCCCACTTTGCTGCTTCTAGAAATTTCAGACAGAATGTGCCTGTGATCTCTCTGGAATGATTCTTTTAAAGTTGTCTTTTCATTTTATTCCCATGTAGCCTTACTGGATCTCATACAGTTTCAAAGGTAACCCACCCTAGAGGGGAGGGGAAGGGATGGAATAGATACTTTATAAAAATTCTTAAATGGAAGTCTGTTAATTGTAAAAAGTAATACCTACATACTTATTACAAAAAACATAGCAACCAGTGCACAGGTGTTTGAAAGTAGATATGTTTGCTTCACAAACTTTTATTCCTCTCTGCTCTGGCACAAGTGCTAACCTTTACTGAGGGTTTACTATGTGGCAACAACATTCTTAGTGCTTTGTGCATAGAAACATGTCCAATCCTCACAAGCACCCCCAGGGGGGGTCCTGTTGTTTCTCATTGGACAGAGCAGTGAAAGGGAGGCACAGGAAGGGTGAATCAAGGTCACGTAGCTGGGCAGTGTGGTGGAGCTGAGTTGTACATCCAGCAGTGGGGCTCCAGGATGCATTGCCCTGTCATGTTTTATACTGCATGTGGGCTGGTGTTAGATACTGAGGTTGTGGGACAGGGCACTAGAGAGAGTGTTGTGAAAAGACAAATATTAGCAGATAATTCTAATATGATGAGTACTGTGAAGGAGAAGAAATGGAGCTTGGGAGCCCATGACAGGAGCACTCAGTTATATTAAAGAGGAGGAGTGCCCATAAACACTCTTCTTCCTAATGTAGCTTTAACTTCAGTTGATAGTTTTGGATATATTCTTTCAGGCTAAAATCTATCTATCTATCTATCTATCTATCTATCTATCTATCTATCTATCTTTGTATTCACTTATTCATTCATCTGCTTATTTAATAACAAAAATTTACCAATTGTTTAAGGCAGAAGGATTTATGTGCTGCCCATGACTCCATTACAGCCGGAAGCTGAAGTCCAGCTCATTCCTTTTATATGGTTGGGTGACACTCCATTGAATGGATGTACCATACCATTTCTAAATTTTTTTTTAACGTTTATTTATTTTTGAGATAAAGAGACCATGAGTGAGAGAGGCGGAGAGGGAGAGGAAGAGAGAGAGAGACAGAGAGACAGACAGACACACAGAATTAGAAGGAGGCTCCGGGCTCTGAGCTGTTAGCACAGAGCCCAACATGGGGCTCACACCCACGAGCCGTGAGATCATGACCCGAGCTGAAGTTGGACGCCCAACTGACTAAGCCACACAGGTGCCCCTGGATGTACCATAACATTTAACAAATGTTAAAACATTTGTGTAACCTTTTACTTGTTGGACATTTGAGTCATTTCCAATTTTTGGATGTTATGAACAAAATTATGCATTTTCTATGTGTTGGGCACTGTTTTAAGCACTTAAGATGTGTGAACAAGTAGAATCCTCACTATTTTTATCTATATTGCATAGAAAGGGAAACTGAGGCAAAGGAAAATTCAGTAAACTGCCTAAGACCACACAATTAAGTGACAGAGCCAGGATTCAAGTCCCAGTTTTGAGCTCACACTCTTAAATTGTGCTATTCCAACCTCTCATGGTATACACTGTTTCTGCTCTTTAAGTTTTATATAGTAAGGACATCTTTCCAAGTGAGTCTGTTTGGAGTGTAGATAACACACGTGGAATGTTATGGGAACTAGAATATTGCACTTAGCTCAGAAATTGATAATTGTCTTTGAGAGAATGGGATCCAGGAGGATTCTTAGAATTGGAAACTCCCCCACCAGTGTGCCAGGTTAACAAATCTCCTACCTCCTCCAAACACAAAGTTCCTAGCATTCCTGGCCCATTCCCCACATCCTCTCTTAACTCTGGTCCCCTGGCCTCTTGGCAAGTAGGGAAACTGCTCATCAGGGGAACCTATCATTGTGACCTTCTCCTGCCTGTCTTCAAATGAAGCTCCCATGGGTGGACAGCGGACCTGTCCCACAGAGTCCTGGAGTATCTGAATTCACGGAATGTTGCCTTCACCATCCCCAGCCTGCAGGTGCGTACCTGAGACTCATCCCTATCATATATTCACCTCTCAGTGCTCAGTCAGGAGTTGTAAACTCAAGGGCCTGGTAAAATGGAGAAGTGGGCTAGGTATGGAGATAGTCTTCACTTCTGCAAAGAAACATGTTCTGTCCAGTTGTTTTGAAACTTTTGTGTTTTTCCACCCTTCCACCTTTGATGGAGACTTGGCGTATTAGGGTGTAGGGCGGACCTACTGTAACAAAGAGATCCCAGATTCTAGCAGCGTGAACAGTTTTGTTTGTTTCTTTTTTTTATTTAATTTTTTAAAAGTAATCTCAGCACTCTGGTAGCGCAATCAGTTAGCATGCGGTACTTATAAAAGTAATCTCTACGTGCAACACGGGACTTGAACTCATGACCCTGAACTCAGGAGTTGCATGCTCTACGGAGCCAGTCAGGCACCCCCAATTTAGTTTCTTTCTATCTCGTGTTATAATTCAGAGCTAGGTGGGAGATCCAGAGAGGAGAGGAAGCTCTATTTCAGAAGACCATCCAGGGGCCCAGGTTCCTTCTGTCTTGTTGCTTTGTCATCCTCTAGGGAGTTGTTGCCCACATGACTGAAACATCACATCCATTCTCCGACCTAGGAGGTGGGGTGGTGGGAAAGAGGAAGTGAAGGGCAAGCATCTTCTCTTTCAAGGACATGAGCTGCAAGTTGCACACTTTGTGCTGCTCCCATTCTGTAGGGCTCACAGTCCACAGTCATGCATTACTGAAGAGAAGTAAGAAGAGAGGCCTTTCTGAGAAGCCATGTAGTCAGCTAAAACTTGTGGGATTCTGTTGCTAAATGGAATTACAGGAGACTGGATCTTTGGGCATAATTATCAGTCTCTTGATCGTGGGTCCAAGAAATGTTTTTCTTCCCTTTTAACTCTATTGTAAGAGAAACAGTAGCACAGGTATGTTAATAGATGGTAATGATATTTGTAGAGCAGTAGGGCATGGTGGGGACTGTGGCAAACTGGACAGCATACCTCATCTGCATGAGCATCAGCCCAGTGTGGTATGTCATATCTTTGCCATTATACTGTGAATAGCACAGAAAATTGAGAAAATATTCTTTTGGTATTCAAAAACTATTTGATTTAGGAAAGAAGTTTGGTCATTGATGAATGAAGTCCTGATGTCTTTATTGTTTCACTTTTTATTTATTTAATTTTTTTAATGTTTATTTTTGAGAGAGAGAGAGAGAGAGAGAGAGAGAGAGAGAGAGAGAGAGAGACAGAGCACAAGTTGGGGAGGGGCAGAGAGAGAGGGAGACACAGAATCAGAAGCAGGCTCCAGGCTCTAAGCTGTCAGCACAGAGCCCGATGTGGGGCTCAGACTCACGAACCGTGAGATCATGACCTGAGCTGAAGTCAGACGCTTACCCAACTGAGCCACCCAGGTACACCTTATTTACTTTATAATGAAATGAAAATATCAACCAACATTCACAATGAGAACTACATTCAGAGAGCTGGTTGCTAACTAGTTACCAGGACACCCATTAGCTGGAGGTGGCTGTTGACTTCATGGCATTTGTTTTATTCTGTTCATCAGTCTGTGGCAACCTGAAGGGAATTAATGCCTGCCCCTTTTCTGGCTAGTAGTAAGTTTTCTCATGAGATGTGTGTGTGTGTGTGTGTGTGTATACATACACATGTATATATACAGTTATATATACATACAGTTATATATATATATACATATACAGTTATATATACATATATGTATGTACAGTTTATTTATGTTGAGAGAGTGTACACACACATGCAGGAGAGGGGCAGAGAGCAAGAAAGAGAATCCTACGCAGGCTCCACACTGCCTGCGCAGAGCCTGATTCAGGGCTTGAACGCAAGAACCATGAGATCATGACCTGAGCTGAAATCAAGAGTTTGGATGCTCAACAAGCTGAGCCACCCAGATGCCCCAAGATGTGTATATTTTAACCTGACCAGTAGATATATTCTCTCTCTTGCTATGTATAAATTTATTTATTCATTCAACATCTACTTATCTAGCCTCTATTCTCTTCCAGGCATAGTTCTAGACATTGGAGACGCAGGAGAACAAGGCAGTCACATTACTACCGACATGGGCCTTTCATTCTAGAGGGACAGTCACAGAGTAAATAATTATTCAACTCATTCAGGATAGGGAATAATGGGTGGCACAAATTGACCACTTACTGTGTGCTAGCCAATATTGAAAATGCTTTACACACACTAATTTAATCCTCATAACAAAACTACATAGTAAGTCTCTATTGTCTCTGTTTTTCAGCTGACAAAATTGAGGTCCCAAAGTACTGTTGCTCATTTAGCAAATAAAAATACAGTGTTCCTGGAGTGCCTGGCTGGCTCAGTCGGTGGTACATGCAACTCTTGAGTTCGGGGTTGTGAGTATAATTCCCATGTTGGGTGTAGAGATTACTTTTAAAAAATATGGTATTCCCCATTAAATTTGATTTGCAGATGAACAATGAATTTTCTTTTTTAGTATATGTCTGTCCCATGCAATATTTGGGACATACTTGGGCTCAAAAATTATTCACTATTTAACTCCAATTCAAATTTAACTGGGCATTCTGTATTTTATCTACCAATGCTAGGTAAGTAACTTGTCCAAGGCCACACAACTGGTTGGTGGCAAAGTGGGGATGTGTACATGGGTTGTCTGGTTTTAGAGCCCACCTTTTGCCCATGACATCACAGTATGCTGCCCTTGTAGAGCACCTTTGTTTAAGAGAGATTTAGAAAATAATTCCCCAGACAGCAGAGTAATCTCTTTTAGGAAAGGCTGCAGACCTCTGCTTCTCACTTTAGAAAGGATACCAAGGGGGAGTTTGTACATGCTGCCTGAATTTTGCTTTTTCTCTGATAGCTTGCAGCGTGGGAGAGGGTTTGAGCAGTGCCAGTCTGGGGGTGGTAAACTTCCTGGACAGAGGCCAGCGGCTCTGGACTTGAAACCTCAAGCACCTATAGGAACCTGGCAGGGCATGGGGAGATCGGCTGGCTGGGTGGGTGGTGAGCAGGAGTGTAATTACAGGGAGCAGCTGGCCCTTGGCTTGCTGATTATCACCAGGAAGAGGATGCATGCCTAGCGTTGCCAAATCTTTGTGTTTTCCAAGAGAAGTTGGAAGTCTGGATTTTTGTGGGGAATCCCTGGACTTCAAAGTGTTGGCAGCTAATGAAAAATTTTGGAGCCAGCCAAACCAAACATGCCTGCAACCTGCCAGCTTGTGGTCTCTGCAGGGAAGTAGGTGGCCTGGCTGGGCTGCTGGCCGTGGTGCTGATCAGATGCTCCTGTCCCATCCTCACTGTATCTCTCAACACTCCCTATCAAGGCAGCCATGGAAAACCACCTGGAGCAGCGTCTGTACCAGCCCCAGAAGCTGCTGGAGGACCTGAAGGAAACAGATGCTCAGCAGTTCCGCACCGCCATGAAATACCTCTTGGAAGACAAGAAGGACCGCCTGGTGAGGCATTCTTGGCACCCCGGGAGTAGGGGAAGTCCAGGGCCAGTTGACATTTGTTGAGTTGAATCCAACTGAGCCTGACTTAGACCCTTGGCCCTTCTTTATGTCTTTCTTCCACCTTCTCCCTTCGCAACCCCTCCAGGAGCTTGGAGACCTTGGTTTTCTCACTTCCTTTCTCCAAAGTTCAAGTGAAGAGCCTTATAGTTTGTACTTTTATAGGTACTAAGAAATGAGGGGTACTGAGGAGGTTCAATTTATTTGGCCTGATAAACACCCGTGAATAATTACTCTGCATCAGTGGACACTGGGTTCAGAGACAAAGGACTACCCCTGCCCTGAAGGAATTCACAGTCTGGGAGAGGGGGCGGGAGACAAAAAACAGAAATAGACACATTTCCAAAAAAACAAAGTTGGTGATCTAAGAGCATCACAAAGTAAGGCCTATGAGACCCAGGAAATCTTGGGACACAGGTGAGGTTTCGAGTTTTCCTTATCAGACCATTTAGTGCACAACAGTGTTTCCCAAAAGGAGTTGACCCATGTAAACATTTTAATAGTCACATTTTATTTTATAGTGTCTGCTATTAAAATAGAATGGATACATCATTCTATTGAGTGAGTTTGGGAGAGATGTGATGTTTCCTTTTTTGAAATGCATTTAAGTTTAAAAGAAAGAGTCCGTTTAAAAAAAATCCTATGAGGTAAATAATAGTAAAGGCAGCACAAAGATGGCAAAAATGAGGATGGTGGTCTATGAAAATGGTACATATTTTTAATATTTATTTATTTACTTATTTTTTTTAAGTTTATTTATTTTGAGAGAGAGCGAGAGAGCGTGTGCCCCAGCGGGGAGGGGGGTTGGGGTGGGGTGGGGTGCAGAGAGAGAGAGAGAGAGAGAGAGAGAGAGAGTGAGAGAGAGAGAGAATCCCAAGCAGACTCTGCACTGTCAGTGTGGAGCCTGACACAGGGCTTGAGCTCACAAACCACGAGATCATGACCTGAGTCGAAATCAAGAGTAAGCTGCTTAACCAACTGAGCCACCCAGGTGCTCCCGAAGCTGCACTCTTACTGTACTGTTTTAGCCCCAGACAGTAAATTACCAAAGTTAAAGAAACATTTGGTCATGGTTAGAAGTATGGGCTTGAATGCAGATACACCTGTTACAGAACCTAGCTCTGTGTAATTTGGGCAGGTTGCTTATTCTATCTTTTATTTTCATCCCCTGCAATATTGGGATAATAATAGCATGTAACATTTGTTGAGCGTTCACTAGGTGCCAGCCAGTCTACACTCATTATCTTCTTTAATTCTTATGCAAACCTAAGAGATAGGCACTGGTTTTATCTCCATTTTACAGAGAGGGAAACTGAGACTTTAAAAAGGTAAGTGACTTGCTTGGGGACACACAGATAATAAGGGGACGAGCTGGGATTTGAACCTAGGAATGTCTGGCCTTCGGATCTATGGGGCTTAACCTGTAGGACTGTCATGAGAATTACATGAAAAGAGACATGTTTGCTTCATGCCTGGTATGGTGCCTAGTATGTGGTCATTGTTCAATAAATGTTATGTTTGCAGGGTGTGCTGGCTGAAAGACTGAGTGCCAATCAAATTGGGACCAAGCTCTGTCAGCATTCTTGGATTCTGTGGTTCAGAAGAGCCATTCATTCATCCATCCATCCATCCATCCATCCATCCCAATATGCTTTCTCAATGTCTTCTGGGTACCAGGCATTCCACTAGGCACATGGCTTGGGCCTCGAGGACTTTCCTGGCTCAATCCCAGCTGCACACTGCAGTTAGGTGCCTGGGCTCCACCACAGACCAGTTAAATCACTCTGTATGGTGGTGCTGGGATCACTCCCCCAGTGATTCTCATGTGCAGCCAGGGTTGAGAACCATTGTTGTGGAGGAAAGAAAGATAGGCCCATAAGCATCTTTAATGCATCATAGAGTTGGGCTCAAGGTGATTTGACCAAAGTAGAAAGGCATTCAGGAAGACTTCACCAAGAAGGTGATGACAATTGAGCTTACCCTTGAGGGATGAGCTGGATTTCGCTAGGGGAAGGAGGTGGGGAGAGAATTCCAGCTCGAGCGATTGCCTGAGGTGTGAGTCACATGGTATATCTGGAAAGTGAGAAGTTGCCTAGTGTGGGTGAAGCAAGTGAAGGCTTCAACTTTGTTCTGTAGGAGAAGTTCTAGAAGGTTTGACATAGCAGTGTGGTGTTAAACAGTGGTCTTGAAGTTCCCCACTGTTAAGTGTGGTCCCTCTCAGGGCTTCCAAATCCAGAGGCTGCTCTCAAGACAACCCTAGCTTCTTTCTTTACTTTAGGAGCTGGAGGATGTCGTTATTGACTTGGGAGAGATTCGGAAACAAGCCTTACAGAGCCCTGGCGTGAACCGCAGCCTATTTCTCATCACACTGGAGAGGTGTTTCCAGGTGCTGAACTCCCTGGAGTGTGTGGAGATCCTGGGCAGGGTACTGAAGAGCTCCTCAGGCAGCTTTCTCCAGCCAGACATCCCAGGAAAGCTCCCCCGGCACCTGCAAGAGGATGCTTTCAAGAACCTGTGAGTGCTTCTCCCAGCCCTTGAACCCCACTTCCCATTCCTCAGAGGTGATGCATGGCAGAGGGGAGAAGGCAGGGGGAACAGGTTAACATCTGTGGAGTTTAGAGATGGATGATTAAAACAGTGCCTCCCAAATGTTAGTCATTCTGGTACCATCCTCACAACTTTTGCCCTATGTGTACACCACTTGTACTATTTTTTTTTTTTTTTTTTGCTTATTTGTTTTTGAGAGAGAGAGAGATGGGGAGAGAAAGAGAAAATGGGGGAGAGGCAGAGAGAGAGGGAGACAGAGGATCCAAAGCAGGCTCTGCGCTGACCCAAGAGAGCCTGATGCGGGGCTTGAACTCACAAACCATGAGATTATGACCTGAGCCCAAGTTGGATGCTCAACGGACTGATCCACCCAGGCACACCCTCCACCCACTGGCACTGTTCTTCATGTTTTTTCTTTATAGTGACTCAGTCTTTTTAATTAACATTTATTTAAAAAGTAACTTTGATATCATTACTATAAGATCAAGTCTTATTTGGACCAAATGGGACTGCTGCATATGACAACAAGGAAGTCGTTGTTGACTGGGGCCACGAGGAGATGTGTGGTGGGGAGGGGACCAGGCTATAGTGGTTAAACGTGACCAAGACACTTCACACCCAGCAGAGTGTCTATAATCAAAATGTCAGATAAATATTTGCAAATGATATATCTGAGAAAAGGTTAGTATCCAAAATATATAAAAAACTTATAAAACTCAATACCCCCAAACCAAAAGATTCAATTAAAAATGGGCAGAAGTGGGGCGCCTGGGTGGCGCAGTCGGTTAAGCGTCCTACTTCAGCCAGGTCACGATCTCGCGGTCCTAGAGTTCGAGCTCCGCATCAGGCTCTGGGCTGATGGCTCAGAGCCTGGAGCCTGTTTCTGATTCTGTGTCTCCCTCTCTCTCTGCCCCTCCCCCGTTCATGCTCTGTCTCTCTCTGTCCCAAAAATAAATAAAAACATTGAAAAAAAAATTAAAAAAAATAAAAATAAAAATGGGCAGAAGAGGGGCTCCTGGGTGGCTCAGTTGGTTAAGCGTCCAACTCTTGGTTTCGGCTCGGGTCATGATGTTAAGGTTTCATGGGTTCAAGCCCCCTGTCAGGCGCTTTGCTGGTGGCATGGAGCTTGCTTGGGATTCTCTCTCTCTCCCTCTCTCTCTGCCCCTCCCCGACTTGCGCTGTCTCGGTCTCTCTCAAATAAACTTAAAAAAAAAATAGCAGAAGACATGAATAGACATTTTTTCAAAGAAGACATACAGATGGCCAAAATACTGACACATGAAAACATGCTCGACATCACTTATCATCAGGGAAATACAAGTCAAAACCATAATGAGCTATCACCTCACAAGTGTCAGAGTGGCTGAAATCAACAACACAAGAAACACTAAGTGTTGGTGAGGATGCAGAGAAAGAGGAACCCTCTTGCACTGTTGGTGGGAATACAAACTGATATAGCCACTCTGGAAAATGGTGTGGAGGTTCTTCAAAAAGTTAAAACTAGAACTACCCTATGATCCAACAATTGCACTGCTAAGTATTTGCCCAAAGAATACAAAAATACTAATTCAAAGGGATATGGGCACCTGATGTTTATATTTATAGCAGCATTATCTACAATAGCCAAATTATGGAAACAGCTGGTGTCCATCAATTGATGAATGAATAAAGAAAATGTGTGATATATGTATATATCTCTATCTATCTATCTATCTATCTATCTATCTATCTATAATGGAATATTACTCAGCCATAAAAAAATGAAATCTTGCCATTTTCTTTTTTTAAGTATATTTATCTATTTTGAGAGAGAGAGAGAGAGAATCCAAAGCAGGGCTTGATCTCATGATCTGTGAGATTGTTACCTGAGCCAAAATCAACAGTCAGATGCTCAACTGACTGAGCCACCAAGGTGCCCTGAAATCTTAACCATTTTCAGTGGTGTGGATGGAGCTAGAGAGTATTATGCTGAGTGAAATAAGTTAGTCAAATAAGGCAAATACCATACGATTTCACTCATATGTGGAATTTAAGAAATAAAACAAATGAGCAAAAGGAAAAAAAAGAGAGAGGGGCAAACCAAGAAACAGACTCTTAAATATAGAGAACACACATAGTTACCAGAGGGCAGGTGAGTGGGGTACGGGTTAAATAGATGATAGGAATTAAGGAGAGCACTTGTGATGAGCATTGGGTGTTGTATGGAAGTGTTGAATCACTATATTGTATACCTTGAAACTAATATTACACTGTATGTTAGCTAACTGGAATTTAAATACCTGCCCCCCCCCCCCCCCGCCTGCCGAATGTCAGATACTAACCAGTGTTGGTGAGGATGTGGAGAAATCAGCACCCTCATACACTGTTGGTCAGAGCATGAAATTGTGTAGCCTCTTTGGACAACAGTCTGGCAATTCCTAGAAAGGCCAATCACAGAGTTGCCATGTAACCCAGCAATTCCACTCCTGGGTTATCTACCCAAGAGAAATGAAAATGTCTGTCCATATAAAAACTAGTACATGAATGTTTACAATAGCATTATTCATAATAGACAAAAGATGGACACAACTCAGAGGTCTGTCAACTGATGAAGAGATAAACAAAATGGGGTGGGATACGGGCAATGGAATAGTATTTGGCAGTAAAAAGGAACGGACCTTGGAAACATCACACAAAGTGAAAGAAGCCAGACACAAAGCTGGCGTATTACATGCTTCCACTTGTCTGAAATGCCCACAACAGGCAAACTTTGGAGGCAGAAAGTAAATTGTGGTTTCTAGGATTTGAGGTGACTGACTAATGGTTGGGAGGTGGTAGCCTGAGGATATAGGGTTTCTTTTTGAGATGCTTAAAATGTTCCAAGATTGACCGTGGTGACAGTTGCGCAGTTTGGGAACAACGCCATTGAACTTTACATTTTCAGTGGGCGAATTGTATGGTGTATGAAGTGTATCTCCATAAAACTGTTAGAAAAGAAGAAGAGGAGGAGGAGGAGGAGGAGGAAGAAGGGGAAGAAGAAGTAGCAATAGCAGGAGCAGTAACAGTGGTATCAGTATAGTAGTCGTAGAGTAGTGACCAAGAGTTGAGGAAGTGGAGAGCACTCTTTGGAAGGAAGGCGTTTAGTTGTGAAGGAGAAAGAGAAATGCGAAAATAGCCGAACACAGCAAGGGAATGAGAAGGCTTGTTAACACAAGACAGACAGTTTTGGGGACACTTGCTGCTTTGACCCATCTCAAGGCCTCCACCTGTTTGTTCCTTAGCTGACGTCCACATTTGTCATTTAGATCTGCGGTGTTCAGAGATCTCTACGACCAAACCTCGGCTCATTCCCAGAGAGCTCTCTACACCTGGATGACTGGGATTTTGCAGACATCCTCCAATGCTACTGGTGAGCCCAGGCTTTGAGGTGGGATCACTTGTCAGGGGGAGCCCATCCTCAAAAGTGGTGCTTCCTCTCTGAAGATAGATTGATTTCATTGTCATGTATGATTTTTCCTCACCCTTCCCACCTTCCAAAAAGGGTTTGATGCGACTTTGGAATAAAACACATACCGCATTTCATCAATTCACTTTTCACATGCTGAAGGGGTGTCCTGGTTTGCAGGTGGAACAGAAATAATGACCGTATCTTAGCTTCGAAGAGAACCTTTACAGTAGAGTCACGAGTTCAAAATCTGTATCATAAATCTGTATTAAAGTGGGACATGATAAATTTTTAAAAGGAAATCTAAGCAATAAAGCACAGAAATTTAGTTTCCTGGGAGCCAAAGCAGAAATAGGTCAAGATTCATTTATTTTGCAGATGTGTATTAGAGGAGTCAAATTCGTGGAGATGGAACGTGGAATGGTGGTTGCCAGGGGCTGGGGTGGGAGGGAGGAATAAGGAGTCGTTGTTTCATGAGGACAGAGTTTCGGTTTTGTGAAATGAAAAAGTTCTAGAAATAGGTAGTGTCAATGGCTGCCAGCAAAGTGAATGCACTTAATGTCACTGAACCATACACTTAAAAATGGTGAAGTTAGTAAATTTTAGGTTATGTTTATTTTACTACAATTGAAAAAAAAAAAGACAAAAAGGATGGTTATATACGTTAGTAATGCAGACAGAAACTCATGGCTTCAATTTGCTGAGTATTTTTTTAAAAATATTTTAATGTTTATTGATTTTTGACAGAGAGAGAGAGAGACAGAGCATGAACGGAGGAGGTTCAGAGAGAGATGGAGACACAGAATCTGAAGCAGGCTCCAGGCTCCGAGCTGTCAGCACA